AAAGGGTAATAAGATTCTATTTTAATCATATTTTTAGGTAAATAGATAACAATAAGATTTAAAGAAAAGTGTGAATGAGATTTGAGTCCCTTTAAACTGAATTTTTGGCCAATTTCATTTTCTGCATTTGTGGGGCGACATGAAAATTATGAGAAAAACACATTCATGATTAACTTTTGGAGAAATTTGCAAGTCCACGACTGTACGTTCCCAATTTACCTTCATATAAAATCGTAAGGGTTATCTAAAAGTGAAGGAATCGAAGGTTTATTTCTGGAAATTGTCTTTATAAAAATGAGGGTATTTTTCACATTTCGAATTTCGAGATTTTCTGCAACAATTAAAACTCATGACAATACATTGTGCACTTTGTAATTTTTAAGAATTAATATACCATAGAGAAATGAGAGAGCCTATTAAAATTGATTTTAATGAGATTCAAAGAGGTGCTTAGCCTCATGGCCAAGTAGTGCCTAACCTCTCATCTTATTTTCAGGTATAATATGAGTAAAAACTCGGGCATTCAATATTCAAGATATTTGTTAAATATAGATAAAAAGTTAATTAAAAAAAAAAAACTGAAAAACACACTATATTCTTTAACTTCATCTCAAAAGTAAATAAAAGTTAAGAAATAATAATTATTAACTTTTCAAAAGTCTATATTCAGTAATAAACTCTTCGTAAAATGAGGTCCTACTTGATAAAATAAAAAACGCAATGTATTCTTTAACGTCATCTCAAAAATAAATAAAAGTTATGAAATTGTAATTATTAACTTTCAAAAGTCTATATTCAGTAATAGACCCTTCTTAAAATAAGGTCCTACTTGATTAATTAATACATACATAAATGTCTGCATTTATGGTTGTGCTAGTTTGTTTGTTAATATGTGATGCAAAAGAGTGTGAACTCCTTTTACCATGAATATTTTAGTTTTTTTTTTTTTTAAATATTGTATTTTGTGTGCAGATTATGTATCTAAATGTTGACATGAAAAACCCTCTTCTAAGGTTCTTTTTGCCCAATGTATAACCAAAAGTATTGTGTTATCCACAAAACAATAGATGACAAATTCTTCTGCCACTCAAAAAGGATGGTGGGGATTGGAAACATTTTGATACTTGAGTTGAGTTGTGTTTTACGAATTCTACGGAGAAAATTACATGGAGTTTTGGTTCTGCATCAAACTACACCAACCGTTGCACATTGCCTTCATTTTGTAGTTTTAAAGAGTTAGAAAAGATCAGTGTACTAAAAGGACATAAGGTGCTGCGGTAATGCAATGAAATTGAGTCTCAACTAAAAAATAAAATAATTACACGATAATATTATTTTAAATATTTCATTACTATTAAACAAATAAAATAATTTCATCAATCAACTAAAAAATAATAGATATTATAATTACACGATGATCCTAAAACTTAACATTTTCGAAATTTTTAAAACCTCGATAACTAAAAATTGAAAGCATAAGACATTTTTCAAGCAAATAGGGTCAAAAAAATTGGCTACACTAATTAAGTGTCTAGGTCGACATTGGCCATTAGGTGATGGCTCCAAAAAATTGGGAAAAACTATTTTGAAAAAGGTGCGCGCTTCTGCTCCTATGGCGGTGGCAATTAAAAGGAGAGTTGACCACCTTTTATCATGCATAGATGGTTCATGTTCACACCTTTTAGAACACTGAAAAATAAGCTTAATTTGTTCCACCTTACTTTATCCTTGCGACAAATAGCATGTCATGTTCCAAAACTTTCGAACACGCTATGATGAAGTGGTTGGGGCCATGCTTGGTCTGGTATGCTTAGAGAAGTGTTTGGCTCATTGATGGTTTGATGCCATGACAAATTCGCCGTCACATTTGACACGTCCATTAGGCAAGTTAAGCAATTACCTAAGTTTACTTTATTTTAGAAATTTATATTTCAAATAATTTTACATATAGAAATCAAACTTTCATGTCAATAATAACTAAATAAATTTATTTTAATAAATTTAATATATAAACATAAACTTTGACGCTGAACAAAGTAATTAAAATTAAAAAAGAAATATTACCCATGGAAAAGTCCATAGGTAACAGAAATCAACATAACAATTTAAGGTTAATGGCAGCGTAGTAGCTGATATTTAAAAAATTAAAAAATTAAAATATATCTTAAGAAATTAGTAGTATTGATAGAATTTTCAATTTTAAATAAAGTCATTTTAAATCTTAAAAATATTTTAAGATTAAAAATGTTTTTTAATTAATGATATTAAAAATAATGACAATTTAATTGATTCACTTTACCGACTAAAATTTTATCAATAAATAAAAGTAATAACAATATACAAATTGAATACTAGTTACAATTTTTCCGTCGAGAATAAAAGCACAGTTAAAAGAATAACAAATTCATCAATAATGTTATTAAAATAGTAATATATCCATGTGTAGCACATAAGACCATAAAAAATATATATATATATTGAAAAAAAGTAAAATTTGCTTGTGGTAGTGACATCGTTGACGATATACCATCGAAATACTGTCGGAATTTTGTAAATGTTATCAAAGATATTATTGTCAGTACTTGTTAACATAGGTGTGTCGATGATCAGTTACGTTATTGCTGTTGATAATTCCATTTGAATCATCGACGTATGTTGATTTTAGCTAGAAATACTAATATAGTACCGATAAAATTTTCGTCTCTAATAATTTGCTTCATTAAAATTTTATTATTATTTTGCCTAGGAACAATCGAAGATTTTGCTTAAAACCCCATTCAACTTGAGACATCATTGGTCGAGGTTTAATAGAACTTGAAGAGTCAATCAATGGACCTATAAAAAGGTTTAGTCAAAAAACTCTACTTAAGATAGCTAGATAAGCTTGTCGATTTCAACGAATCTTGAAAAGTAATTTTGATGCCAATCGGGGTCGAAGATATCCCTATTCTATGGCATTCTCCCCATTCCAGTAAGTTGTAATTAACACAATAAATTATTATACCTCTTTCTATATTTCATAAAATATATTATTGAAAAGTTGATATAAGTTTTAGATTCCATGAAATGTGTTGGCAAAATTAAATATTAACTTTTTAAATTTTATCAAAAATATTAGTTAAATCAAATAGGAGCTATATTACAAACTATTTAATTAGTAGTAACTTATATGATAAGGTATTATTGCAGCAGAAACCTTGAATTTTTGAAATATTAGTAGACTTTTCTCGAACCTTTCAAAAGTTGTAGTTGTCATCCCAAACCTTTTCTTGCACCATAGGCCCTTTTGAACGACTTCAATCCATATTTCTGTTAGTTGACCAAAAAAAGTGAATTTGACCATTTTTTAAATAATTTTATAAAAGATAAAATATATATACTACATTAAATAATTAAAGTAAATAAATTTAAGAACAACAAATAAATAAATAAAGAACAATAAAAATCCTTTTTCTCTTCACCCAAAAACCTACACCCCACCCCATACCAAAACCAGTATCACCTGGTGCCCCCAAGGGCACATCTCCAAGTGGTAAAAGGGAAGGGTGGAGAAATCCAGCTTTGCTTGAGGCTGCTGCGTCAAGGGTTCGAATCCTGAAACATGGATTTGACTTTTGGGTAAGTGCAAGTGTACAAGCAGCCTTCCACCCTGTACTCTTGGAGGCATAACCTGCGATTTACCTCCCTCACGATGCTCCAGGGTAGGAGTGGTGGGGGACCCTTAAGGTTAGGGTTTAACTTTTTTTTTTTTTTCAGTATCACCTGGTTGCCAATGTTGGCACATCGTCGACATAGGTGCAAACATCGGCAAGTGTGCCAACATTGGAGACGCCACAAACTACTGCACGCATACTTCTTCTACTTCTCACCCACCTCGTAAAACACATTCTTACTCCTCTCCAACCCTAACCCCAAAACCCAAATTAAAAACCATGTTCTTGGCTTGGATTCTTTAATTGGGTCATTAATCATTATATCAATTGACGATAAACACATTATAGTATGATGCCATTGGCCAATTTTTTGAATTAACATTTTTAAACTCGTGAATTGAAGGATTTGTCGTGGGTATTATCGGATTTGTCGAGATTGTTAGAAAAATTCTGTGGTTCTTGATGCTATGGAGACTGATTTTGATCTATATATGTTGTTGTTGTCCAATAGTATGTGACGTATGTGTTTGTGTTCATGGTCGCTGTTGAGGTGAAGAATGATTTCATTGCTTGGGTTTGATTTTTGGTTGGGGGATGGGGTGGCAATTTTTGGGGATGGCGGTGATATTGATTTTGACTGTAGCAATGATGGTAGTTTGCGGTTGTGGTGATGGGTGGGTGGAGTAGTGGTGTCGGAGCTTTGCGATGACGTCGACAGTCTCCGACAGTTGCAAACGTAAAAGGTAGGATGGATTTAGGTAGAAGAAGGTTCAGCTTTAACATTTCCTTTTTTTTTTTTTTGCTTATTTTGTTTAGCTATTTAATTATTTTAATTCTTTAACGTGATAAATATGGAAATATCATTTTGCCCTCATTGACATTGATTAAAATATGGTCAAATTTAATTTTTTTGGTCAAGTGACGACAGACCGAATGGAAGCTGTCCAAAAGGGCCTGTGATGCAATGGTTGAAAAGATCTGGGGTGACAACTGCAATGTTTGAAAGGTTTGAGAAAAATTTGCAAGAGTTTTAAATGTTTAAAGCTTTTGCCGCAATTAGCCCATATAATAATTTGTCTAACAAGAAAATCAACCAACGTATGGCTGTAATTTTTGTGATGTTGACCCAATATGGTGAGATTAATCTACAACTACAAGAATCCAAAGTCAAGAGTTCAACACATGCATTTATATAGGGAGTCCGGAGTCAAGATGGCAGAAAATGCATATAAAAGCCAAATGATATTGTTAAACCACGTCAACCGAAAGTAACTGTCAATCAGCCATTACAAATTTCCCCTAATGAAGAAGTAATTGCCAAAATGGTCCACACATTAGGGGACCGGGAAGGGGGCCCTGCCTACATCTTCTCGTAATCCACTGCCCAATGTCCCTTAGAACATGGAGCAAATTATGGCAGTTTCCCTACTATAAAACCTAGTTTTCTCTCTCAAATATCACGCCCAAAATAAATTTAGTTCTCATGGCAAAAAACACATAATTTTTCTATATTTTTGGAGCAGCAAATTAAGCTATAAATGGACATTGAAATGGTGAAGTGTGAGTGCTGTGGATTGAAAGAAGATTGCACACAGGACTATATAAATGAAGTGAAGGCAAAATTTGATGGTAAATGGCTATGTGGCTTGTGTTCGGAAGCCGTAAGAGATGAAGTTAACAAAGGGAATAAAGAATTTGTAATGGAAGAAGCTGTCAAGGCTCACATGTCATTTTGTCGCAAATATAAGTCGAATCCAGCCATTCAAGTAGCAGATGGGATGAGGCAAATGCTAAGGAGAAGGTCCGGTGATTTTTCATCATCTTCTTCTTCTCCAAAGAAATATTCGAGATCTGCTGCAAGTTCTTATTACTAGCAAGAAAAATAAAGGGGCGCCTCTCATCTTTGGTTGGAATAAGGTATAACAATTCGATTCGTCTGTGTTTAGTATACTGTACTAGACATGAATGTACAATATAAAAATTCGATTCATGACCAAGTCTCCTTTGTACATACATGTAATTCCATGGGGCCTTCTACCTGGTTTTTGTTTATTCTTCAATACCTATGTTTTTATGTATTCTTCTTCAGCAAAGCAACAATACATTTTGTGGGTGTGTGGGGAAAGATATTTAGCCTAATTCTAATAAATAATCTAAAGATATTGTAGAAAGCTACTAAAAGGTTAGTCTTATGTCTTGAAGCTAAATTAAGATTCATTTCTCTTGAAAAGGATCTCATAATTGGACACAAAACTTTATTCATATTATAGATCAGTTGAGATTCGTTGATCTTCAAAGAACTCCATTTTGTTGAATCTTTTTATTGTTCGATATATAATTTGATAAGTCAATCAATTTCTTCCGTGGTTTAAAACACTTTTTGATTGGCTAATCAATTATTTGAGGTTCTTATTGTTGAATTCAATTCAACTTGAAAGGCCCAAACCCATGATATTACTTGCAAGATACAGTCAGTCAACAACACAACAGAAAATAAAACTTGCAGTAATTAAATATTGAGCACAGCAGATTTTTTGGCCGAAGCCCCAGAGGTTCGGTGACATTTTTAACACCTAATCCCCTGTCGAACATTCATTCAAGAACGGGAATAGCTCCGTTGCACTAAACCGCCTTAAACTGACAATGAAGGTTACAAATGTTTAGCCAATACAAGAATAAATATAAAGAGACTTATCTCTTCAAAAGAAAATAACAATCTGCCTCGAATATCCCAAGAATCAACAGATCATCTTCACGAACTCAAAATATAAGAACCCTCTCGTTCTTATAGATTTTCACTCAAGAAAAATACTAGTATTCTAAGGCTAAAACATATAACCATCACTTTTGAATGAGAAGTTCAACTGTAATGGTAAAAATCAGAAACCCTAGCCACAGAGAGAAAAAGGAACTCTCTCGAACTCTCTCAAACTGAAAAGCCAGAAAAATGAAAAGTCTTCTACCAAACGAACCGTCCCAGCATTATTTATGTCACCAAGGATCAAAGCCTTCATCCAATGGTAAGTAACGAGCCAAGCGTCAGCATCCAGTAAGAGTTGCCATTTTATAAAGGCGCATTTCCACAAAATGCGTTTTTAACTGCAATTTATGGGAGCATAAAGAATAGGGTTCGAGTCTCAACACAACTCGTCTCCCTTTTTCCTATAGATATAGATGATCTCCAAATTTTGTAATTTTCTTTCACAAAAAAGAGGAGAAAAGGACAAGTGGAGAGAGGGGATCAGCTAATTAAGGAAGGTGTAAAGTTATGTAGCAGCCACTAATTCATCGTGCAATGAATCAAAATACGTCGCAACATTTTTGAGCAATCAGTTGGCTATGACTATGTCTTGTAAGCACAGATGGTGCAACATAATATTATTCAAGAAGAATTATACCAAAATTCCACTTAACAAGAGAGCACTTTCTTAGAATTTTGCTATATTCTTCAATTTATTAAGTTAATAATACATGATATTTTATTCACAACCATAANGAAAAGGTATGTAAAAATGGAAAATGAAAAGGTGTGACTACGTGTCAACTTTGACCAAATATTCGAACTTAATCCGATGGTCAAATTACAAAAATAAATAGACCAACTTATTGTACTCGTCAAGTAGATCGTTGAGGTATATTTGGAATCTCGAAATCAATTCCGGATGAATGAGAAATTGCGGACCAAAGTTGAAAGAAATGAAGTGTTGCAACTTTTCGAAATGTGCAGGTTCTGGCCAAATGTTACAACTTTTTTGAAAGGATGTATGTTTTGCCCACACTACTTCATTTGCACCCTTTCTACATCTATAAATAGAACCCTATGGACATGATTTTGGGTACACCAATTGCATTAAGCATTCATTCTCCTTTTGCAATTCTCTTCCTTCTAATTCTATAGCATTTCATACATCTCCTTTGTAGAGGGTAAATTCTGTCAAAAGTTCATCGGTTTCTTGTGGTTTGAAGTGCTACTACCACAAGTTGTGAATCCATTGTATTTTGGGAGACAAGTGACATTCACCGTGAGCACCGTAGCGGGACAATTTGTCTTAAGAAAAGTGATAATGTCTCGCCTTGAATTATTCTTTATTTCTACTCTTTCTTAATCCTTGTTTTGCGTCATCTTTATAACGAAACTCTATCTAAAATTTCATTCATATAAATTGTGTTTTGATCACACTCTTGCGGATTAAAACTAGTCAAACAAATATATCAAAAACCAACCCTTACATAATCCTTTTTGTAAGTCGTCTCCAACAATTTTAAGACAAAATTTGTGTGTCTTTGTGGTTGGTAGTGGACAAACATTACTTTGTTAGAATAGTGCTTTGTGTACTATTCCTCTACCGATATTATTGTCATTTTGTTGAACTTCTGTTTGTGTAACAGAAATGACTGACATCGAGATTTCGTCAAGTCAAAATGGTTCCAATAATGTGGTACCACCCGTGGCCATACCGTTGCATAATACTACTATCCCACATGGGGAAAAGCCAGAAAATTTTGCAGGAATAGATTTCAAGAGGTGGCAACAAAAGATGTTGTTGTATCTCACCACTCTTAATTTGGCTAAATTTCTAAAGAAAACTACACTGGATGTACAAGAAGGGGAAAATAATCGTGAATCGATTATTGCTTTGGATGCATGGAAACACTCAAACTTCCTATACAAGAACTATATCCTAAACGCATTTGATAATACATTATATGGTGTGTATAGTTCAAAGGAATCGGCCAAGGAACTATGGGATTCTTTGGAGACAAAGTACAAGACCGAGGATGCCGGAACAAAGAAATTCATTGTTGGCAAATTTTTGGACTACAAGAAGGATTCCAAAACCGTAATTAATCAAGTGCAAGAGATTAATTTCTTAGAAGATGTTCCATGTTGGCCCAAGCCAGTACCTGCGATAAGTATACATTGTGATAGTCAATCAGCAATTGGAAGGGCTCGAAGCAGCATGTATAATGGTAAGTCTAGACATATTCGTCGTAGACACAACACCATTAAGCAACGGATCTCAAATGACGTTATCTCCAAAGATTATGTGAAATCAAAGGAGAATATTGCGGATCTACTGACGAAATGTTTGCCTAGAGATCAAATGAGTTGCCTATCGAGAGGAATGGGATTAAAGCCTACTACCTAAGAGTTTTTGCAATGATAACCCTACCTTGTTGACTGAAGATCCCAAGATCTTCGTTCAAAGGGACAACTAAGTTGTGAAAATTCCATGAAGCACTTAGGAAATTAGAATTCCTAACTCATTCCTATGATACTAAAGTGCTTTCTGCAGAGTAAATAGAGGCTGAGATTATCTTTTAATGATTCCTATATCTTGATTAAGTCAAGTGGAGTAGGGCAGAATACTCTTAATAGGAGGTTACCTATGTAAATGTGAAGTGGGGCCGCTTCGATAAGAATTGTTTAAGGTTTGAATTCTTTAAACACTTATGAAACCAAGAAGGGTTCAGGATCAAAATGAACCAAGTCATGAGAACTAAGTACAGAATAGGAAAAATATTTGTGTAAGTACTGTTGTCTTGACTTACACCAAAGGCTGAGTGGTTCAAGACCTGTGGTTCACCAATTAGCCAAGTAAGTCCGATAGTATTTCACTAAGGGAGGTTCAAGGCCAGAAGTCACCATCCCTGATGCAGTATTTTTTCGCACCCTCTCTACATTGCATCATATCATCGCATTTGCATATACGTACCTGAATTTTCATTTATGTGGGGGATTATAGGAATTGGTTCAAATATTAAATGAAAAGGTGTCTAAAAATTGGAAAATGAAAAGGTGTGTAAAAATGGAAAATGAAAAGGTGTGACTACGTGTCAACTTCGACCAAATATTCGGACTTGATCCGATGGTCAAATTACAAAAGTAAATAGACCAACTTATTCTACTCGTCGAGTAGATAGTCAGGTATATTTGAAATCTCGAAACCAATTCCGGATGAATGAGAAATTGTAGACCAAAGTTGAAAGAAATGAAGCGTTTTAACTTTTCGAAATGTGCAGGTTTTGACCAAGTATTGTAACTTTTTTGAAACGATGCATATTTTGGCCCACACTACTTCATTCGGACCCTTTCTACATCTATAAATAGAACCCTATGGACATGATTTTGGGTACGCCAATTGCATTGAGCATTCATTCTCCTCTTGCAATTCTCTTCCTTCTAATTCTATAGCATTTCATATATTTCCTTTATAAAGGGGAAATTCTATCAAAAGTTCGTCGGTTTCTTGTGTTTGAAGTGTTGCTACCATAAGTTGTGAATTCATTGTATCTTGGGATACAAGTGCCATTCACCGCGAGCACCATAGCGGGATAATTTGTTTTAAGGAAAGAGATAACGTCTCGCATTGGATTATTCTCTATTTCTACTCCTTCTTAATCCTTGTTTTGCGTAATCTTTATACCGAAACTCTGTCCAAATTTTCATTCATATAAATTGTGTTTTGATCACGCTCTTGCGGGTTAAAACTAATCAAACAAATATATCAAAAACCAACCCTTACATAACCTTTTTTATAAGTCGTCTCCAACATAAAATGTGTCCTTGCCCTTTCTCGAAGAGGATAAAGAGTAAAGTTGTTTTGCATCTCGTCAGTATGAAAGGTCTTTTGAATAAATTTTGCAATGTTTGATAAAATCTTGGGATTCTAGATTTTAAAGCGAAAAGAACGAAGAATGATTGGGCATTTGCCTCCAACATTTGGTTAAGGGTTGAACGCTATGAGGAGGGTTACTACGTGCTAAAGATGTTGGATTAACGCAATTGAAAGTTGAGAATGACTGTTTGTGTCTTATTAAGAGTTTATCGACAGACTTTCATTTAGCTCCTAATACATTTGTATTTATAGGAATCTATTACCTTATCTAGGAATACAATGGCCAACAATCTTGTCCCTTTTACTGTTCGCAATCCTCTTGCTAACTCTTTTAGTTCATTCTATATTCATCTAATTTTATCATTCGTTGCTGGTGATTTGAATTAATCACTGACAATTGGTAGGTTTCAGTACTCATAAAAAAGACTATCTACACCATC